ATATTAAACATTTAAAAATTTACTAATATTCCCTTGAGTGACTAAAGTACACTGGAGATCTCAGATAAGAATCTGTGGTCTGTCTGCAATTTTTGTATGAACATCCTGCATGATTCTGATAATACAAAAACCAACAACAAAACAGCCTTCCCCCCAGCCAAACAGAGAAACCCTGCCAAAAATATATAAACAGCCCACTCACGTCCCAGTAGCCATAATGATTTTTTTTCCAATTGCATTTTAGAGTTTTTCTTAAAATCAGCTGGTTTTCTGAAAATTGTGGAAGGCTTTTAAATAAAACCAGAGTTGAATTGGTGTGATTCGTTCAAAATTCATCCGGCATAGTGATATTTCAGACAATGACTTGTAATTCCTTTCAGATATTAATGAATATGTTAATTTGGGAATCTAAACTTAAAAGTTTTCCTTAAACTAATAGGGATACTTAATTCATGCACTGTCATACAAATAATCATGAAGTTCCACAGTTTTCCACTGTGTAGGTTTTTTCCAGGAGATTTTTCATCTGGTCTAAAGCAATCCCTAGAAGACATATTAGGAGAGTGGCTCTGCATTGACAGAGAAATGAGTGGGGACTACTTCTCCTTCCTTCTGCGCTACTCATGTGCATCAACCTACAAGCAAAGAAGGAAGGTCTTCAGGAAAATGAGTATTTTAATTCTTCTTATCCATTCAAGGTTTACTGAGCCTTTGGAGATTTTTGGGTTGCACTTACTTCCATTACTTAAATATAGGCGTCTGGTGCCTTTTGAAATATTTACATAGACTGAGCAGATATGACCAGGGACCCAGGGGAGAGCGGTGCTGTTCCACAGGACATCTGGAATGGCACTGTTTGCTGTCCTCTGTGAAGACTAGATCTACAGAAAATTGAAAAGACACGACCAGGAACTTTAAATAGCTACTACATGACAGAAACTTCCAGTCATTGCTGATGAGAGTTGAACTTCAATTGGTGACCTAGAGGGTGAAAGCTGTAAAACCAATAAGCCTTCCCTTGGTTTGGGGAATTCCCTTAATAGTCATAACTGAAGTCTCCCCATGATTTGCTGGGAAAAAAAGAAAAAAAGGGACATGAAGATAGGCTGCCAACTGTTTTTTTCTAATGGGGAGAAAAAGAACTTAGGAGAGGAGTAAAGACTGGAGCTTGCTGACATTATAAAATAATAAAATGTTCCCTTTTGTTCGTTATTTATCTGTCTGTAGAGATCTGAAATTAATGGGTTTACAAATGAAATGAGAACTGTGCTCAATTTCTGGTCTTTGCTTTAAGTCCTGAAAATATAGCAATGGCAGATGTTTCTTTTCCTGAGCCATTTTAAGAGTTGAAGTTCAAATCATCAGTCCAGGAAAACTGGCTTTGTGTCAAGTTCTACAAGGGAGTATAACTAAATTTCGCTAATTTGCTAGTACAATCTGTATTTTTTGTTATCCTCTTTGTCCTAAGTAAGTAAATCAGAAGTTTTAGCAACATGATTTTTTTCAAAGGTATTAATGGACTGCAAAATCAATTAACAAAAATATTAAGGTTTACTGGAATATAGCGGTGATTTCCTCTAGTGGTACTCTGCACACAAAAGAGCAGTTCAGCTAATTCAATAGTTCATCTAAAGGATGAAGACAAGAATAGTAATACAGCCAGGGAGCTATTTTGACATTCTGTAAAGAGAAGAAAATATGAGGGGAATGCAAGATAAGTGTCTTGCAGTTGGCATCACCTCCCTATTTCTGTATTTGGTGGGATGTGAAACGTGAAGATGTTATTGATCCAACTCTCGTGTCAGCTACATGAGTTGTATGTACATGTACTTAGGAAGAAGTGTGGTGTCTGCTACATAGGGATAAATCTCCCTTGGCCTTCCTGCTTTCCCTGTTAAGACTAGGTTAGCATAGGACCAGAAAGGGGTTGATGTTGTGGAGGGAGGAGTTTCAGACACTGTCAGACAGCCATCCTATTGGCATCGCCATTCTTGTGTTTCAGCTTGAAACTGGTATTGGAATTCAACTCAAATTGGGATTTGAACTAAAACAATGTAGAGTGGGAAATCTACACTGTTTAATTACAAAGCATAATCAGTTAAGCATTACATTTAACCAGAAAATGTAATTTTAAAATTAATGAATCGTGAGATGAAATAATTATGATTATTTTTACCTTTTTAAGCATTTTAGCTATGAATTAGGAAAATCAGAGAATTTTGACATCTCTGCTAGTTTCGCCATTCACCTGTTCACAGGATTTTCTGTTTTGAAAGACAATGTATTTTGGGTAGGAGAAGTGACTACCTTCCCTGGAATAAGATTTTTAACATGAATAGAGTTAAGTAAACAGTGAGAATTTAATTAAATTTCTACCTTCCATGTGTGCTTTGCAGGGTACAGTGTGAACTCAATTGATACCTATGCAGTTAGCCTATGCTGGTGGCTAGCTTAGCAACTGAAACTCAATAAGCAGAGTCTGAGGTGATGTTGTGGGAAAGGGAATTACATTTTGTCTTGAGAAATGCACTTCTGTAAGAGAGTGGAACATCCAAGAACTGACTCGGCCTTTGTATTTTTTTGGAGATGTCTGTAGCCTCCAGAAATGGTGCATTTCCAAATATGGCAGTCATCTCCCTCCTAGGCTGCTCATCTGGCTGTTTGCATCGTTCCTGTGCAAGTTCCAAGCACTACTCCTCAAATGCCAGGAAAGTAGCTGGACGTGGAAAAACAGGGCAAAACGCAACAAGTCTGTAGTTAAGATCTGACAGATGTCTTACAGGCTGCATTGCAGATCAGAGTTTGTTCCATCTGCTGCATAGCATTTTAGCAGCCTTCTCAGTTCTGTCACTAACAGGGCTTAAGGCTTCTAAGGCTCAGTACGTGGTCATAGAAGTTAGAGGTCTGGACTGGGATGCCCCTTCATTAGCAGAAATTTTTTTGAACTATACATTAATATGATAGTAAATAAATTGCTGTCTTTTATGTATACAGTTTGCATGTAGCACATCTGTATGTGTGGTGTTGAAGGAACATAATCTTTTTATGGTTTAATACTGATTTGCTATGATGATTCACTAAGCTTATCAGTTGCAGACAGTCTGGGAGAATGAAATGAAACGGAAATGCTTGTCAAAAAATGAAGCAATCTGTATCACTAAAATGAGCTTCTGTTTCTGGGCGGACTGATATTTTGTGGGAGGAGTAAGATAAAATTAATGTCTTCAGATGTTATATGAGAAGCTGGCCTGTGGTGCCAGGAAGCTGTGGCTATTTGAAAACTGTGAGCATACCATGCAAAATAGGTGAGGTACCTGCTGCAGTGCACCGGGCCAAAATCTTTGGATTAGCCTGTAACTGGCTCCTAGACAAGGGGTAAAGAATCTGCCTTTTCATCCACCACTCCCCCCCAGCAGATTATTGCCCAGTACTGTTCCATGTCTGGTTTTGCACTTGGGGGACAGCAGTGATTGTTTCAAGCTCCATGCAGTTTCTGGGGAAGGTATTGTTTTGCAGATGATGTCTGGGAGATATGGCAAAGTTATTTCTCTCTATTTGTCTCATTATCTCTAGTCATGTGTAGTGAGAAATTATTAACTGGATTGTTCATGCCATGAGACTGATTTAAAACCATAAAAGTTTAGGAATAAGCAATAATTTGCATGGTTTCAGTTTAATTGTCTTGTGATGATTCCTGTACTTGCTTTAACCATCTTCCTCTCTCCCAGTGTCTCATTACTTAAGTGCCCTTTTGACCTCCTCAGATTGACCTTTGATCCATAAGCTTTTTCCAGTCTGGCCCTCTCATCTTCCCAGAGGACCAGGAGGAAAAAGCTCATACTTCTTCCTAGTATAGGCAGAATGTTATCACATCCCTCAGATTCTAAATACATTTTAGTAGTTGAGGATAATGCTATCCAGTAGTGACTGTCATCGTTGGCCAACCTCCCATCCATCTGCAAATGTTTCAGTCAGTGATAGTAAGAGATGATGCTATTGTAAAATAAAGGCAGCGTCTTGTAGAGGAGATGTCCTGTTCTGGCAAATTAGACTGCAGCACTTGCTCCTTCTTACCTTCCTCGCCCGTGGTTATTCTAATCTTAAGCTTAAGAAACAGGAAAAATTGAATATAATGCAGTCATTTTTGTGAGGATAAAAAGAGACTCAAAAACACAAGCCCATTCTTCTGGCCACGCTAAATTTAAGAACAAAACCCTACTTAAATAACAACATACTTTTTTCCTAAAACAGTGCATGTTAAATAACAGGCTGAAGGAAATATGTGGGGATTAACTTCAAAACAGATGTTTACAATGAGTCAGTGATGTATTTTAATTACATTCCCAGATGCAATTAAAACAGACTTCTTCTGAATATAGGGGATGTGTTGATAGAACTGATAACATTCTGCATGATGCTGGAGGAGGAAGTATGAGCTGCAAGCATGCGTCCTCCAGCTGTGATCTCATCAGGTCTGAAAAACTAAGAAGGGTCACACCAGGTCACTTCTTGTAATGGGAGACCCAATGTTTTTCCAGGCATAACCATGTACTGCAAGGAGTAGCCGATTATGCTGTGGGTGGCACTTTTCCCTCCTGATCCTTACTGAAGCTGCACTGCAGCATGTGTTGATGTTGTTTTCAGATCCAATTCTCTTTTTGCATTGTATGATAAATATTCATTCTAATCAGTGTTAATTCTCATCTTTCTGTGAATTTATAATGTAATATGGTAAAATGCTATAATAATGTAAGAAGTTTGACTTCAAAAAACAAATTCAGTGGATCTACATATACAAAAAAAAAGGATATCAATAAAAGCAACAAATTTTTCAGGAGCTGATACTTTAATAGTATCAATAATTTATTGATAGATACATTAACATATATATAAGCCTTAAATAATTTTATTTCTCTTTAATGCTTTACTTTAAAATAAAAGGTATTTACCAAGTAAAAATGTTATTGTATTATTTAACTTTCTGGAGGAATACTTACTGATCTTATGAGGGGCTTTCCAAATTCAAAATGGATTAGGTATCTTTTCTCTTGGTTGCCCAGAAGTACTGAGATCATAGTAGACTGTGGAGCCCCCAGGTGTAAAGGGACAGGTGCCCAGCATCTGTGCTGGGGTATGGCTCTGGGGAGGTGCCATCCTTGGCTGCTTGCGAATAATGGCTTAAAGAGGCTGTCGAAGGATCTCGTATGCACTGGTGGAATATTCACTGATACAAACATTTTGCTTCTTTTCCTCTTTGTTTCTGAAGGGCATAACAGTAAAAGCAATAGACTGCTAAGCTGCTTACTAGTTGCTTCATGACTATGAGGGGGAAAAGTAGGGAGTAGTCTAGAGAAGTACTTTGGTAGCACAAAGCAGCTGTTGGATTTTACTTGTGCATCAGTTAATCCGACTTTTCTCATGTTACCATATGTGCTTAAGCAAACATTCCCCATGCTGACCAACCTTGCAGTCAGTGTGGTACTTCTGACATCCCTGGCTCGTTGCAATATGTTCTGCTTGTCACCCAGTTCAGACGTTTAATTTTTAATTTCTCTTTTATTTTCAGGGTTGTTCCGGTTGTGGAAAATGTGACTGCAGTGGAGTAAAAGGGCAAAAGGTAAGTGAGCTGTCTCCATTTTTCTTGCTTATTTCAACCACAGGGTGTGTAACCTACCTGGAGTCAGGTGAACCATTGCTTTTGGTGAAGACCTGCACTCCAGGCAGTGTTGCCAAGGCCAGGCCACGTGCTCTTCAGTAGGGTTCCCGAAAAGCAGGCAGCTCGATGTCTGCAGAGAGCAGGAGGGGCCAGGGGTGGGAAGCAGTCAGTTGTCTTCACTGCAGGTTGAAGCCTCTAGCCCAGTGCTTGGCTATGCCTTCCCTCCTCCCCCATCGAGTGGGATGCTAACCCATCACTCTCATCTTTCCTAAGCCTCATCTCCAGTCTTTTCAGTTGGTAGCAGGCTTGACATCCTGAGCGCCTCTGGAATTGAGGCAAGCAGCTCAGTTCAGAAATGCTCCTCTCAGCATGCTGTGCTGGGACCTGGTGGCAGGCTGTCCTTCTTCTAGACAGGCATTAAATGTAAAAAATCAGGATGAAAAACTACTCTAAGTTGAAACAAGAGTGAGGGCAGATGATTGCTCTCCAGGAAGGCTGTGATGCATCATAATCAACATAGCCTGACCAGGGTTGGCCCTGGGAGGCAATGACTTGTAATAGGAAGAAGTAGAGTAATAATAAACTTAAATACAGAAGAGTGTTGCAGGTCAAGGAAAAAAAAAGGTCAAGAAAAAAAAATAGTATTTAAAACTTGTAAATGAGTTTTAAAGTTCCCATTCAGTTATCCAAACTTTTTGTGTATGAAACAGAAAAGGCTCTTCAAAGTCTTCTTTTAAAGCAGTAACAGTGAAAAAAAATTATAGTGTATTTAAGCATTCCGTGAATTCCCCCTCTAAATTACTTACTTTTGTAAATATTGCAGACATTCAATCACTCTCCTTATCTCTTCCAGTTTTGTTGTAGAGATTTTAATCTACAGTGTGTTCTGTTGTGCATGCACATATGCTGTGTATCTACCATTATAAATGAGTGTAAACCAAAGTTTTGTCATCCTGTGATTGCTGTGGGTACATTTTTGAGGTAAGTTGTTTAGGTCACCAAAGGAATGCTTAGAAAAGGTGGGGGGTTTGTTTGTTTTTTGTTCTGGAGGGTTGTTTTGTTCTTTGAAATAAATAGGCAGTTGGTGTTCTACATTGTCTCAGTTGCAATAGTTGCATGTTTATGGATGAGAGGTTTAAAAATGTTTGTTGGTGGCTTTTCTTTGGTGTTTTCCAGACCTAGGAATGTAAATTGTTAATTGGAGACCCAAGCAAGATCATTTTCTTTGTAACAGAACATAGATTAATTTGTGACACAGATGAAAAGTGTTGACGTTCAAAACATCTTTTAGATGGAGGCTCCTTTTTTTAATAATCTAATAACTGTTTAATAGAAGTCAACTATATATTAAAAACAAATACAAGAAAGACTTGGGAAAGCTTCAAAACTCTGAATTTATTCCTTGATATCTTGATCTTATTTTTCAGTAACAAGTACAAATGAGTCATTGTAGAATGAAAGAGACATGTTATAACTCTCTTGTTGAAAGACATTAGTTTTCAGTTCATAGAGTATGCCAGCATCTTGTAACAAGATCATTTTAAAAAGTGATAGCTTGGGGAAATAAATAGCATTAAACCTTATGCTTCATTTATTTCCAGCTGCAGTTCTGTCTCTTTGCTAGAGTTCTTGCTGGCATTTTTCATTTCCATAGTCCAGAGTCTTAAAATGTTCTCTTTTAAAAGAAATAGATGCTTGTCTGATATGCTAGAATCCCAAACTACCTCACATTAATGTAGACTATTTAAAAATGTAGAAGAGATAAAAATATCCACAGGAACAGAAATCATAGTAAATTCCAAATCCCATGCAAACTTGTCCAGCATGTCAGTTTACTCTCTACTCTTCCTAATGGGTTCCTCACAAACTTCCTTGACTTTAAGCAGGAATGCAGTGAAGTATTTACATCATTTTAGACTGTGTAGGAAATGCAGTTGTTGACATTAGAGGCATCAAGACAGGTGAATGAATAGTTACACCTGGAAAACAGTAGTCAAGGAAGGCATTCTAAGGTATTTTGGAATGGGTTTAACATGGAACTTGATTCAGATCAATGCTTGCTCATTATGTTAACACCTTGAGGCTTTCAAATGTGTACTCAGGATTTTGAAGAGAAGATCTTTTAGTTAAAAACATCTTCCCGCTGCCCTTGTTTCAGCTTAGAGTAGTTTCTCATCCTGATTCTTCACATTTAATGCCTGTCTAGAATAAGGACAGCCTGCCACCAGGTCCCAAACCTGAAGACAGAAGGTGGTGAGGGAAAGTAAGAGGAGCATCCTTCCTGCTTGCCTCTGTAATATTTCTAGAATTGGTCTTTCCAACCATTCTGTTTGGATTTGAAACATGTCTCTGCTAAACATGGTTCCCATTAACACACACATCAGTAGCAGTACCTGTTACCTCAGAAATCTACGTGAATGTTGCTTATTCAGAGGACAGATTAGAGAGACTGACCCTCGCCAAGATCCAGGCTAGGAGAAGGCTGCCAAGCCCAGCTCTTGTGGTACCCCAGGAGACCACATTAGAGAACATCTGCTCTCCATTTCTCACGTAGCCACTTGTGTGGGAAGCGCATATCCACTCTGCCCTGCACCATCCACAGCCAACATGTTGCCTACACTGGAAACCCTTTTGATCTGGCTTCCATGTCATGCAAAAGTGCACAGACACTGAAGGGCCTTTTCCAATCCACCCACACTCTTCAGCAATCCACCCACACCAATTTACTGCCATGGGAGCTTCGGGAGCTGCGGAAGTGGGTGCTGAGTTTACCCTTTAATGCCTTAAGTATTAACATCTGGAGAGATATTTCCTACCGTAGTGTGGGAAGAAGTTCCAGACCCTATAGTTTGGTGGGGTTTCATTAAAATTCATTTGGCCAAATAATCATATTAATGATCTCACCAGAAAAATCGCTGAAAATGGTCTTTGACTTAAAAGCTGTAAAGTGCCCAAGAAATACTACCCAACAGCATTTCAGACATGGAAGAGTAAATTACATTGGCATATTTTTTCTCTCACTTGAAAATATTTTCATGAATATGATGGCCATCTTTAGAGTACATTTAATATATTCTCTCATCAGACTGTTTCCATGAAAATTGCATCTCTATGGTAAACTCCTTTAACATGACTCATACTTTATCAAAGGCATATAATTGACAAAGTCTAAGGGTTTTCATCCCTTTCAGAAAATTTCAGAAAGTGAGCATAATTGCAACAGATGGCCCTTATCCCATAAAGCCTTTATTATTACACTAAACATCAGGCTGTTGTTTTAAGCTATATAATGTCAAGTATCACATAATTGCTGAACAGAAGGTGCAGAAATATTAGAAAAGCATAATATTGCTAAAATAATAAATAATACCTTACTGTTTTCTATTAGATTAGCCTAAAACATCTTCATTTGTTACCTCGTATGCTTTTTATTTGGTTTTCTGCATAATAACTTGACTGTTCTCTTGAGCCTTGCTGAAGTGTGAGATCTGTTTAAACTGATTAGAGTTTTGAATGCTTGCCTACATTTTATTGAGCTACTCTGGAGTAGACTGAAGCTGTGTTTTCTCTTTTATGCCTACCTAGATTTTGAGAACAATTTCAAGCAGCTGTGGAGATAAGAACTGCCTAGCCATTAGTGTGTGTAGAAAAAGCATCTTAAGCATTTCATTACCATTTAGAACAAAGACTGTACAGAGATGAGTGAAATTCTCCATGAACTGACTTTTTCCAAGAATGTTCATTCTCTCATTCATGACCATTTGCACTCCTTTTACTCTGTATCAGAAACATGTATAAATGGAACCTTGCTGTAAGTAATACAGAATGATTGATCTTCTCAGACTTATTAGTTAGAACGCTTTGAAGTATAAATCATCATTCTTTAGTATAAATATTTTATGATGATTTCACTGTCTCAGCATTACCCATTGAAAGTTGAAGTCACAAGAATATCAAACATGCTTTCATAATTGACCATGAAGTATTGCAAACTAAAAAAAAATCTTTCCTAGGATGCTCTGAAAGAAAATAGAAAAGAAGAATAGAATTAGCTCTAAATGAAACTGCTGCTTTTGACCTTTTGTTTGGTTTTTTGTTTATTTGAGAGGTAAAAAACTTGAGCAAGTAATTTTATCTTGGCTTATTTTTGCTTGCCTAATTCTGAGACTGTATTATATGTACATAAAAATTACTTCTCCATTTCCCTGATGAGTGCATCATTTCTGTATGGATTGACCATGCCACACAAGTACACAAACTGGCTTTGCTTGAGGTATTTTGGGTCTGGAAGCCAGGTAGCTCTGACTTAGACTGACAGTCAGTGGGACATCTCTGGAGTTCCCTGTCAACAGGACCAGTGACCAGTATTTTCTCTCCTGCACACTACAGTCTTAAAAATCACTCATTGTTTTGTTGTCTGCAGGGGATTGTGCTTCTCCTGTGTAATGAAAAGTTGACTGTTGCAGTGGACTGTGTCCACTTTTTGTAAGGTTTACCAGATTGGGAGGACCTTTGAGAGTCTTCCTGTCATTTTAGGTATCAAAAGGGAGAGCAAAAATATTTGTAATATTGATGATTTAACACAATATAAAACCTCTTGTTGGAGGGAAGCCCCGGCAGTCAGTGGGAAGATCACTATTAAGTACTTCTGAGTTTTCTTGAAGATATAGCAGAGGGCAACAAATCAGTTCCTTTAAGTGGAGCAAATCAATAATCACCAGATCTATGGTTTTCATAGTCAACTTTTATTAGACTTTTTTTTAAATCAAAATTTTTTTGTTAACGCTTTTCATCGACTCTACTTGGTTTTAGTAAATACAGCTCAGTGTTTCTATTTAAGTGGCTGCTGTTGGAACTTACGTGGTGTACAGCACCTATTTATGCCTGAGTTGTAAAGAGTATGAGCTGAGGACACTAAGGAAACCACAACTAAATAATATACCCTGGAGACAGCCATAACGTTGGCAAGAGAGGTGACAGGCAATGTAGGAGATAAGAATGGGTTTGCAGTCCTGAAAGGGGTAATAGATAACATTAAATCATCTATGGAAAGGGCTAATAGATAACATGAAGTCATCTAACCATTCCTGAAAGGGCAGAATCAGAAGACAGTAATAAAATAAGTGAAGATATTGATCAGCTGCAGATCTGATGTTCTACAGGGAAACTTGTGATTCATAAATATTTTTGAAAATCAGGACATTGTCACAATGTTTTTGTCAATTCTGCAGTGACAGTAGTATATTTTTATTGATTTACCCTTCACTCAGAGAAAAAACAATCCTTTTAATTCAAATCAGGGAAAAAGAACACCCATGTTTCATAAAGAGAGCTGCTATTCTTGAAAAGAACAAAATGTCAAATGACTAAATAATATTGAGTTCTACTGTTTCCCAACTGTCAGACTATACTGCTAAGTGTCATCTGAAACCATCAGCTTTTCTTAGTTCAAAATAGTCATAGGAACCATTTGTCCCATTTATCTCTGGCAAAATTTTCTGCGATATTTTTTTGTACTCAAGTACAGTGGGTATCTTTGATTAACACAAACTAGTGGATTACAATGATAAGTTTTTCTTTAGGGAAAGAGGGCTATAAAAGCAGATATCGCAGTAGTACTGTGTGATGGGGCATACTCATATTTGGTTTTCAGAGCTGACTTTTGAAGGTTTTCACAAAGTAGTATTTCAGTTGGCATAATGTGACCTTTTAAGCAGCTCTTGCTAGATGCATATCTTTGCTTGCAAAGGTGTTGGCGTAATGAGCTCAGGCGTTTCTTCATGGAAAAAAACAAGCTCACATGGCTTGATTTTACATTTGTACAACTGCTGTTAGTGTATGTTTTCATTATGGTTTCTCAAAGAATTAGAGGACCTTAGTTTGATCTGAAGTATGTGAGCCTCCAAAGAAGTCAGTAAAGTTTCCCAAATGAGAGATCACAGTAAGATAAGAAAAGACATGTATAAGATCTCTACTTCTCTGAAATCTTCATGCTCCGGAATTGGAGCCACCCAGTGCCTGTGCAATACCCATGCGTAGCTTGGAATCTTCCCAAATTTAAAATTATGTCCATGCAAGCAGAGTCACATTTGCAGTATCTACCAACTACATAGTGATTACCTTTCAGGTAAGTACAACACCTGAAAAAGGGCTACAGAACAGTAAGTTAATTGAATTATAGATAACACACCAAAGAAAGCTGAATTAGATTATGAAAAAAAATATTAGTTTTCANTCTTTGTTTCTGAAGGGCATAACAGTAAAAGCAATAGACTGCTAAGCTGCTTACTAGTTGCTTCATGACTATGAGGGGGAAAAGTAGGGAGTAGTGGACAGAAGTACTTTGGTAGCACAAAGCAGCTGTTGGATTTTACTTGTGCATCAGTTAATCCGACTTCTCTCATGTTACCATATGTGCTTAAGCAAACATTCCCCATGCTGACCAACCTTGCAGTCAGTGTGGTACTTCTGACATCCCTGGCTCGTTGCAATATGTTCTGCTTGTCACCCAGTTCAGACGTTTAATTTTTAATTTCTCTTTTATTTTCAGGGTTGTTCCGGTTGTGGAAAATGTGACTGCAGTGGAGTAAAAGGGCAAAAGGTAAGTGAGCTGTCTCCATTTTTCTTGCTTATTTCAACCACAGGGTGTGTAACCTACCTGGAGTCAGGTGAACCATTGCTTTTGGTGAAGACCTGCACTCCAGGCAGTGTTGCCAAGGCCAGGCCACGTGCTCTTCAGTAGGGTTCCCGAAAAGCAGGCAGCTCGATGTCTGCAGAGAGCAGGAGGGGCCAGGGGTGGGAAGCAGTCAGTTGTCTTCACTGCAGGTTGAAGCCTCTAGCCCAGTGCTTGGCTATGCCTTCCCTCCTCCCCCATCGAGTGGGATGCTAACCCATCACTCTCATCTTTCCTAAGCCTCATCTCCAGTCTTTTCAGTTGGTAGCAGGCTTGACATCCTGAGCGCCTCTGGAATTGAGGCAAGCAGCTCAGTTCAGAAATGCTCCTCTCAGCATGCTGTGCTGGGACCTGGTGGCAGGCTGTCCTTCTTCTAGACAGGCATTAAATGTAAAAAATCAGGATGAAAAACTACTCTAAGTTGAAACAAGAGTGAGGGCAGATGATTGCTCTCCAGGAAGGCTGTGATGCATCATAATCAACATAGCCTGACCAGGGTTGGCCCTGGGAGGCAATGACTTGTAATAGGAAGAAGTAGAGTAATAATAAACTTAAATACAGAAGAGTGTTGCAGGTCAAGGAAAAAAAAAGGTCAAGAAAAAAAAATAGTATTTAAAACTTGTAAATGAGTTTTAAAGTTCCCATTCAGTTATCCAAACTTTTTGTGTATGAAACAGAAAAGGCTCTTCAAAGTCTTCTTTTAAAGCAGTAACAGTGAAAAAAAATTATAGTGTATTTAAGCATTCCGTGAATTCCCCCTCTAAATTACTTACTTTTGTAAATATTGCAGACATTCAATCACTCTCCTTATCTCTTCCAGTTTTGTTGTAGAGATTTTAATCTACAGTGTGTTCTGTTGTGCATGCACATATGCTGTGTATCTACCATTATAAATGAGTGTAAACCAAAGTTTTGTCATCCTGTGATTGCTGTGGGTACATTTTTGAGGTAAGTTGTTTAGGTCACCAAAGGAATGCTTAGAAAAGGTGGGGGGTTTGTTTGTTTTTTGTTCTGGAGGGTTGTTTTGTTCTTTGAAATAAATAGGCAGTTGGTGTTCTACATTGTCTCAGTTGCAATAGTTGCATGTTTATGGATGAGAGGTTTAAAAATGTTTGTTGGTGGCTTTTCTTTGGTGTTTTCCAGACCTAGGAATGTAAATTGTTAATTGGAGACCCAAGCAAGATCATTTTCTTTGTAACAGAACATAGATTAATTTGTGACACAGATGAAAAGTGTTGACGTTCAAAACATCTTTTAGATGGAGGCTCCTTTTTTTAATAATCTAATAACTGTTTAATAGAAGTCAACTATATATTAAAAACAAATACAAGAAAGACTTGGGAAAGCTTCAAAACTCTGAATTTATTCCTTGATATCTTGATCTTATTTTTCAGTAACAAGTACAAATGAGTCATTGTAGAATGAAAGAGACATGTTATAACTCTCTTGTTGAAAGACATTAGTTTTCAGTTCATAGAGTATGCCAGCATCTTGTAACAAGATCATTTTAAAAAGTGATAGCTTGGGGAAATAAATAGCATTAAACCTTATGCTTCATTTATTTCCAGCTGCAGTTCTGTCTCTTTGCTAGAGTTCTTGCTGGCATTTTTCATTTCCATAGTCCAGAGTCTTAAAATGTTCTCTTTTAAAAGAAATAGATGCTTGTCTGATATGCTAGAATCCCAAACTACCTCACATTAATGTAGACTATTTAAAAATGTAGAAGAGATAAAAATATCCACAGGAACAGAAATCATAGTAAATTCCAAATCCCATGCAAACTTGTCCAGCATGTCAGTTTACTCTCTACTCTTCCTAATGGGTTCCTCACAAACTTCCTTGACTTTAAGCAGGAATGCAGTGAAGTATTTACATCATTTTAGACTGTGTAGGAAATGCAGTTGTTGACATTAGAGGCATCAAGACAGGTGAATGAATAGTTACACCTGGAAAACAGTAGTCAAGGAAGGCATTCTAAGGTATTTTGGAATAGGTTTAACATGGAACTTGATTCAGATCAATGCTTGCTCATTATGTTAACACCTTGAGGCTTTCAAATGTGTACTCAGGATTTTGAAGAGAAGATCTTTTAGTTAAAAACATCTTCCCGCTGCCCTTGTTTCAGCTTAGAGTAGTTTCTCATCCTGATTCTTCACATTTAATGCCTGTCTAGAATAAGGACAGCCTGCCACCAGGTCCCAAACCTGAAGACAGAAGGTGGTGAGGGAAAGTAAGAGGAGCATCCTTCCTGCTTGCCTCTGTAATATTTCTAGAATTGGTCTTTCCAACCATTCTGTTTGGATTTGAAACATGTCTCTGCTAAACATGGTTCCCATTAACACACACATCAGTAGCAGTACCTGTTACCTCAGAAATCTACGTGAATGTTGCTTATTCAGAGGACAGATTAGAGAGACTGACCCTCGCCAAGATCCAGGCTAGGAGAAGGCTGCCAAGCCCAGCTCTTGTGGTACCCCAGGAGACCACATTAGAGAACATCTGCTCTCCATTTCTCACGTAGCCACTTGTGTGGGAAGCGCATATCCACTCTGCCCTGCACCATCCACAGCCAACATGTTGCCTACACTGGAAACCCTTTTGATCTGGCTTCCATGTCATGCAAAAGTGCACAGACACTGAAGGGCCTTTTCCAATCCACCCACACTCTTCAGCAATCCACCCACACCAATTTACTGCCATGGGAGCTTCGGGAGCTGCGGAAGTGGGTGCTGAGTTTACCCTTTAATGCCTTAAGTATTAACATCTGGAGAGATATTTCCTACCGTAGTGTGGGAAGAAGTTCCAGACCCTATAGTTTGGTGGGGTTTCATTAAAATTCATTTGGCCAAATAATCATATTAATGATCTCACCAGAAAAATCGCTGAAAATGGTCTTTGACTTAAAAGCTGTAAAGTGCCCAAGAAATACTACCCAACAGCATTTCAGACATGGAAGAGTAAATTACATTGGCATATTTTTTCTCTCACTTGAAAATATTTTCATGAATATGATGGCCATCTTTAGAGTACATTTAATATATTCTCTCATCAGACTGTTTCCATGAAAATTGCATCTCTATGGTAAACTCCTTTAACATGACTCATACTTTATCAAAGGCATATAATTGACAAAGTCTAAGGGTTTTCATCCCTTTCAGAAAATTTCAGAAAGTGAGCATAATTGCAACAGATGGCCCTTATCCCATAAAGCCTTTATTATTACACTAAACATCAGGCTGTTGTTTTAAGCTATATAATGTCAAGTATCACATAATTGCTGAACAGAAGGTGCAGAAATATTAGAAAAGCATAATATTGCTAAAATAATAAATAATACCTTACTGTTTTCTATTAGATTAGCCTAAAACATCTTCATTTGTTACCTCGTATGCTTTTTATTTGGTTTTCTGCATAATAACTTGACTGTTCTCTTGAGCCTTGCTGAAGTGTGAGATCTGTTTAAACTGATTAGAGTTTTGAATGCTTGCCTACATTTTATTGAGCTACTCTGGAGTAGACTGAAGCTGTGTTTTCTCTTTTATGCCTACCTAGATTTTGAGAACAATTTCAAGCAGCTGTGGAGATAAGAACTGCCTAGCCATTAGTGTGTGTAGAAAAAGCATCTTAAGCATTTCATTACCATTTAGAACAAAGACTGTACAGAGATGAGTGAAATTCTCCATGAACTGACTTTTTCCAAGAATGTTCATTCTCTCATTCATGACCATTTGCACTCCTTTTACTCTGTATCAGAAACATGTATAAATGGAACCTTGCTGTAAGTAATACAGAATGATTGATCTTCTCAGACTTATTAGTTAGAACGCTTTGAAGTATAAATCATCATTCTTTAGTATAAATATTTTATGATGATTTCACTGTCTCAGCATTACCCATTGAAAGTTGAAGTCACAAGAATATCAAACATGCTTTCATAATTGACCATGAAGTATTGCAAACTAAAAAAAAATCTTTCCTAGGATGCTCTGAAAGAAAATAGAAAAGAAGAATAGAATTAGCTCTAAATGAAACTGCTGCTTTTGACCTTTTGTTTGGTTTTTTGTTTATTTGAGAGGTAAAAAACTTGAGCAAGTAATTTTATCTTGGCTTATTTTTGCTTGCCTAATTCTGAGACTGTATTATATGTACATAAAAATTACTTCTCCATTTCCCTGATGAGTGCATCATTTCTGTATGGATTGACCATGCCACACAAGTACACAAACTGGCTTTGCTTGAGGTATTTTGGGTCTGGAAGCCAGGTAGCTCTGACTTAGACTGACAGTCAGTGGGACATCTCTGGAGTTCCCTGTCAACAGGACCAGTGACCAGTATTTTCTCTCCTGCACACTACAGTCTTAAAAATCACTCATTGTTTTGTTGTCTGCAGGGGATTGTGCTTCTCCTGTGTAATGAAAAGTTGACTGTTGCAGTGGACTGTGTCCACTTTTTGTAAGGTTTACCAGATTGGGAGGACCTTTGAGAGTCTTCCTGTCATTTTAGGTATCAAAAGGGAGAGCAAAAATATTTGTAATATTGATGATTTAACACAATATAAAACCTCTTGTTGGAGGGAAGCCCCGGCAGTCAGTGGGAAGATCACTATTAAGTACTTCTGAGTTTTCTTGAAGATATAGCAGAGGGCAACAAATCAGTTCCTTTAAGTGGAGCAAATCAATAATCACCAGATCTATGGTTTTCATAGTCAACTTTTATTAGACTTTTTTTTAAATCAAAATTTTTTTGTTAACGCTTTTCATCGACTCTACTTGGTTTTAGTAAATACAGCTCAGTGTTTCTATTTAAGTGGCTGCTGTTGGAACTTACGTGGTGTACAGCACCTATTTATGCCTGAGTTGTAAAGAGTATGAGCTGAGGACACTAAGGAAACCACAACTAAATAATATACCCTGGAGACAGCCATAACGTTGGCAAGAGAGGTGACAGGCAATGTAGGAGATAAGAATGGGTTTGCAGTCCTGAAAGGGGTAATAGATAACATTAAATCATCTATGGAAAGGGCTAATAGATAACATGAAGTCATCTAACCATTCCTGAAAGGGCAGAATCAGAAGACAGTAATAAAATAAGTGAAGA